GCAGAGCCTTCCCAGAGCCGCTCGGAGCCGAAGATGCCGCTCGGAGCCTTCGGCTGCTGAGGGAGCGACAGCGGGAAGGGCAACTGGGAATTCAGGTGAGGACCCCCCTGGGATCCTTCTCCCCATGGAATTCCTGATTTCGGGACTTTTGGGGGCATCCCCGGAGGGCAGGAATTCGGGAATTCCATCCGGAGCCGCGCTCGGAGCCGTTGGCTGAATCTGGCCCCTTTTGGGTGGGTTTGGGGACCTTCTTCCATCCTGGGTGTCCATCCCCCCCCTCCTGGAGCTCTGGTCCGTCGGGATTCCCAACTATTTCCATCGGAATTCCCAACTATTTCCATCGGAATTCCCAACTATTTCCATCGGGATTCCCAACTGTTTCTATCGATATTCCCAACTATTCCTTGGGAGAACAGGGCCCAGCTCGGTTGAGAACCCCCCTGGGATCCTTCTCCCACTGGAATTCCTGATTTCGGGGCGTTTTGGGCCAAAATTGTCTCCTTTGGGGTGTCCCTGAAGGGCAGGAATTTGGGAATTCCATCCTGGGTGTTCATCCCCCTCCTGCTGGAGTTCTGTTCCATTGGAATTCCCAGCTGTTTCCTCAGGAGAACAGGGCCCAGCTCGGTTGAGAACCCCCCTGGGATCCTTCTCCCGCTGGAATTCCTGATTTTGGGGCGTTTGGGGCCAAAATTGTCTCCTTTGGGGTGTCCCTGAAGGGCAGGAATTCGGGAATTCCGTCCGGAGCCGCGCTCGGAGCCGTTGGCTGAATTTGGCTTCGTTTGGGTGGGTTTGGGCACCTTCTTCCATCCTGGTGGAACCTTCTTCCATCCCCCCCTCCTGGAGCTCTGCTCCGTCGGGATTCCCAACTATTTCCATCAATATTCCCAACTATTTCCATCGATATTCCCAACTATTTCCATCGATATTCCCAGCTATTTCCATCAGGATTCCCAACTGTTTCCTCGGAAGAACAGGGCCCAAGTCGGTTGAGAACCCCCCTGGGATCCTTCTCCCGCTGGAATTCCTGATTTTGGGGTGTTTGGGGCCAAAATTGTCTCCTTTGGGGTGTCCCTGAAGGGCAGGAATTCGGGAATTCCGTCCGGGGCTGCGTTCGGAGCCGTTGGCTGGATTTGGCCTCGTTTGGGTGGGTTTGGGGATCTTCTTCCATCCTGGTGGAACCTTCTTCCATCCCCCTCCTCCTGGAGCTCTGGTCTGTCGGGATTCCCAACTATTTCCATCAATATTCCCAACTATTTCCATCGGGATTCCCAACTGTTTCTATCGATATTCCCAACTATTCCTTGAGAGAACAGGGCCCAGCTCGGTTGAGAACCCCCCTGGGATCCTTCTCCTGCTGGAATTCCTGATTTTGGGGTGTTTTGGGCCAAAATTGTCTCCTTTGGGGTGTCCCTGAAGGGCAGGAATTTGGGAATTCCATCCGGAGCCGCGCTCGGAGCCGTTGGCTGAATTTGGTCACTTTTGGGTGGGTTTGGGGACCTTCTTCCATCCTGGGTGTCCATCCCCCCCTCCTGGAGCTCTGCTCCGTCGGGATTCCCAACTATTTCCATCAATATTCCCAACTATTTCCATCGATATTCCCAGCTATTTCCATCAGGATTCCCAACTGTTTCCTCGGAAGAACAGGGCCCAGGTCGGTTGAGAACCCCCCTGGGATCCTTCTCCCGCTGGAATTCCTGATTTTGGGGCGTTTTGGGCCAAAATTGTCTCCTTTGGGGTGTCCCTGAAGGGCAGGAATTCGGGAATTCCGTCCGGAGCCGCGCTCGGAGCCGTTGGCTGGATTTGGTCACTTTTGGGTGGGTTTGGGCACCTTCTTCCATCCTGGGTGTCCATCCCCCCCTCCTGGAGCTCTGCTCCGTCGGGATTCCCAACTATTTCCATCGATGTTCCCAACTATTCCTCGGGAGAACAGGGCCCAGCTCGGGGGGTGTCCCTGGGGCCGGGTGCCATCTCCCCATGGAATTTGGTCCCGCTCCGTGCCCTCCTCAGCGCCTTTTCCCACCCTGGAGGATGATGGAGGTCCAAGGCCCGGGATCGATCCCCAGGAACCCTCGGGAAGCAGATCCAACCCCTCCAGGGCTCAGATTGATCCAAGGGGCTCCATCTTGGCTCCATCAGGCTCAGGCCTGACCTAAAG